AAAAAAACAACCCACAAGAAAAACATTGGCTCCAAAGAAACAAATTGTAAAGTAAGAATGTTAGAACCACATGTAGTCCCACAAATTAGAGAAATGAATGACTCACATCCATCTGGGAGATGCCATAATCTAATTTCTTTCCGCTATCATTTATAGCCGATTCTGAGTTTAGCCAAATAAATATTTGGAAGGATTTTAAAGACTAGGATGTGGCTTGAATTAAGAAACTCTTCAATCTATTAGCAAGAACCTTCACATTTGATGAGATTTATGCCAAAGTCTCCCTTTAAATATTCTAAACGTTTGCTGTGAAGATACAGGCACTGAGATTAGATTTCTGACACAGTCTGAGACAATGACAACCAAACAAGATCACGGGAGTTACTGTTTCCAAGCACAGGGTGTTAAAGATGATGATAAAGAAAACATATATTTTATGGGCAAATGAGAAAAAGGTGGTTGCAAGTGTGGAGAACAGTCAATCCACTTGGGTATCTTTCTCTGAAGGAAGAAAACTACAGACGGACTGATCATTGCTGGAAGGAATGTGAAAAATGTTTTAGGTACATCAGGAATGCTCATTTTTATCAAGAAATTGCTAGTCTGTAGCAGGAGAACAAATTACGTTTGCCAGTAAGCATAACCTTTCAAAATGTGATTTGTTCTTCCTATCCATCTGTGTCCTCCACGAGTAGTGTGAAAACGCATCTGTCTGTAGGCACGAGGTTGGATTTCACTAAGTAGTGGAAAAGAAGTAGAACTTTTGGTATATGGAGTATCGGCATCATAAGAAAGTTAAATACCTCAGATCCTCTTCAAAATGAGAGAAGGAGAAAGATATGTGAATGCAAGATAAAAATTAGGCATACAGAGAACTGATGTTACATACTCAGTGGCATCTTGAATATGAGGGGAACGTAAAGAAACAAAGGTTTATCTTTTATGAAGTGATACTTGCTTCTCTGACTACTGGCACAGCAATGTTCTGAAGGCTTTCATGACAGGTAGAGTTGTTCAAGTGAATTACAAATGTTTTACAGGTAGACTTGAACAAGTGACCTACATAATGTAAATGTTTTACATCGATTCATGCTGTTATAAGCAAGGGTAACATGGTCTGTATTGCTTTTGGATATGTTATGTGAAAAATGAGAAAAAACAACACCCCAAACAAAGTGCTCGTGTGTGGTTTGGGTGGGAAGGAAGATGTGAGATGGCTCTTTGGGGGTGGTAGCTCTTTCCCGGAGAGGTGTGGTTTTTCCAGTGGTCTGCTCCAGAGGAGCTGGTCCCCTGGAAGTGCAGTGACTCCTACTCTGCTGGGCTGCGAGGTGAGCTCTGTCCTTCAGCCGCTTCTGCCCTCACCCTGCAGCTGTGCCTTGTCACACCCAAGGGAGACCAAACCCTGATGGGCCATGCTTTAATCCTGACTGCCACCACATTCATGGCTGTCCTTGCTCTGCAGTTCCGTGAGTGTTTGGGCTCACGCTGGGCAGGTGGTATTGGGTAATCTTTCTCTCTCTGACTACCAGCTGTTGAAGTATATGGTCCCTGCACTGACTTCTGTGGGGAGACGTCTGGAACTGTAGGTTTACATAGACTGTCACCGTGGGGATGTGAAATTAGCATGTGCTCCCAGGCAGGGAGATCCGTCTTATTCAGCTTCCTAAAGCAAAATTTTTTGTCTCCTTTCTTCAGTTAAAATTAGAGAACTTGGGTTGTCACTGTCCTTTGGGTAGGTCCGTCCCGGGAAGTTCAGAGTCATTAACCTCAATGTACTTTGAGGAGAAGATGCCCTAAATCTCAAGGCAAACTGAGACTGAGGACTCATACCTGTTTATAATCGGACCTGAAAAGAAATACACTATCAGGAAACACCACTTCACATCAAGAATTTAGGGCTCTGTACCACAATGTTTCTCTTCAGAAAAATTAATGATGTAAGGAGGACAAGGACACCTTGTTCCTGGGACTGTGTGGGTTTATAGCATTTGCCAGAGAGCTCATCTATCGGCAACATCTTCTAAGGAACATCGACAGAGAGGAAGAGATTTGTGTCCCATGAGTTAGCATGCAGGACAGCGGCTGCTCCTATGGAAGTTGTTCTATTCAGGAAACATGAGTTCAGTTAATTATTTTATTGTTTTGCTCAGCATATGTGATCTTGATGTCAGCTATCCATCTACATAGACAGCATAACTAATGTTTGACAGAGTAACATGTAAACCAAAGTAAACATGTCATTTGAAGAGCACCAAATAACTAGATCAACTAGTTGCCAAGCAAAACCCTCAAATAAATGTGGAAGCAAGTGGAAATAAGAATTAAATCTGTGAATAGAGCTTTTTTTAATGCTAGTAGCTGGGGGAGGGAAAGTGTGTGTGCAGGAGGACAAGAAACATATGAAATACCATTGCCAGGAATAATGCCTTAAATATGAAGACAGCTGATGAAAGTGTTTGATGATTATTCTGGCTCAAGTCTGCAGAGCAAGAGACCCAGAAGAGCAAAACAAAGTGAGGAATAGGTCTTATGTTTTGGAGCTGAGAACTCCCTGTCCACTCATAACCTCAGAGCTGCTAAAGATAGCCTGGGGCGGAGTGCCTCTCATCCAGCCTTTGACTAGCTGAAAGGAATACAGCTGGTCCAAGCTAGCTGTTGATTTTCCCTCCTTGCTCAGTGAAGAAAGAGTTATCTCTGGTGCTTAAAATAAACGGGATGAATTGCTCTCTAGAGATGCCTGTCTTTTTCCATCAGTTTAAGACAAAGTAAAATGAATCCACTCTGGATTACAGGAATGATTTGTTGTGGACCACTTGATTTCAGGTTGGTGGAGAGGTAACAAATTTAAGCCCAGAGACAGGTAGTGGAGACTGCTGGGCTTTCTTGGGAAAGCAAGACTTTCATGAAAGACTTTAATGCTGGCAGCTCCCTGTGCAGAGCAAGGACGCAGGCTCATGCTAAATGAAAATACTGTAAGAGGCTGGGAGGCAGGCACAAAGGTATGTGTTGTGAGATCCGACATAAGTGACAGGTTGACAATGTCTGGTCAATGCCTTGGAAAAACATTTGTGGCTCATGGACCGTGTGGTCATGAAGTGCCACAGCCATTACAGGAAAAGGCTGTTATGTGTGTGTGAGGCTAAAGTACCCAGAGCCTCCCTGGGACCAGGAGGAGCTCTGCTGTGAGACTGCAGACGAGCAAGGGACTCTCGGGCACGCACGGGGCAGCGGGGGCTGCTGGCCCTTCTGCAGCACTCAGCCGGCTCAGCTCCCACTGCTGCCAGCACCCGCCTGCTCCTAGCAGGCATTGCTGGGCAACAGCAGCAGAGTGGAAAAAATGTTGTTATGTACAAATGAAATATCATAAAACTAGCCTGCTGCCGGTGGACAAACACAGGCTGTCAATAGATAAGAAAACCACTCAATTAGTCTGTTTTAGTGTGTTCATTGCACTGGTAATTATAGTCGATAGCAGTCTATTCATTAGCTAGTACACATCATGTAAAGAGCTTGATAAAGCAGATGAAATACAGCACCAATCAGTTTTCAAGAAGGACATGTTGTTATCTTCCTGAAGCTCCTGCAGGGAGAGCCAGGCATCTAATAATAATGGGGAAACTTTTAAAAACTCACATAGGTCCAAGCTCACT